TATCGTTACAGCTTTATTTTGCTTTGGCCCTGCGTTCCAAGCAGAAATTTAAGACTTTTTTTTTTATTTCGACACTTGTAAAAGTGACCGCCTGTGCTATGGAAAGGCATATAAAGACTAGAGACCTAACATAACTTTTAGAAATAATGGATCGAGTTCAAATGAAAGTACATAGATCTAGATCTGTACGCATACGTTGCCAACCACACCCGCGGCACACGTTGTCTATTCAACGAGTCCTACATTACTGGAATACCCAGCTGGAGATCGAGCCAGCAGGGCCTTTATACTACTGTAGACCACGGCTATGGCGGAATTTTTTGTTCCAGAGGAAAAACCCCGCTGTAAGTGAGTTCCCGCTATAGGAATGCAAAGGGGAAATTACCGAAAATTTTCTAAAAATCCACATGATTTCCTCCCTTTCATGTCAATAAAATTTGAGCTTTAGATTAGTATTCCTGTTATTGTCAACTTCGTTGATTATTTCGGCCTTTAATTCGAGGGAGAAGCATTTCCTTTTGTCTTTGTTTGAAGCCGTTTTTTCTTGGGTCCCGTTGCTTGTGCTGTCTATCGTACCGCTAGGCCTACTGTAGATAACTGGTGAAGTGGATGCGTGCGTATGCCTCTGAGCATAAACGATCGTAAACCAATGAAACGGGAATCACACGCTACATGCTCTCCTCTTCTTTTACTTTTTGGCCTAGCCTAGGCCTATGGCTATGGCCTGTACGCTCTCATACTGAGCGTCTAAGCTACGACACATCACTTTTGGAGTTGTTCACATAATGTGTCTCTCCGCACCATCTCTCTCTACCGCCTGCCCCACCTCACTAATCCCTGGACAGGTCAATCACAACGCCGCACCGCAGACTGCCTGTTTGGAGCCTACAAAGGCTACAGCACTCTAAAACCCTCCCCCCCCCCCTGGCTAGACCTCGCCCTCTCTCTCCCGCTGTATCAGAGTATGGGCCTTTCCTTACCCCGCTAAACCCGAGCACAGGTGATTGAGTTAACATATAGAAGAAAAAAAACGGGGATCCCGGTAAGGTCCCGCAGTAGGGATGGTGCCGCTATAGTCATGTTCTACTTTATAACCTCCTTGCTCTCCAGATAACTCTTCCTTCCATGTAATTAGGACAATCGTCATTGACTCCAAGAACAGTGCTTGCCAACCTGTTAATGACCAGCGCCCATTTCTGCCGCCTTAAAGTTTAAGGCGCTAAAATTTTTCGTTCTGCCTTCCAATGTAGCCTACCCAATTTCCAGACGGGGCATTAATAACACCAGTCACTACCCGACTACCCCATGACGCCCATCAAAATCACTCAATCGCCCGGATTGGCAAGCAAAGATCCAGATCTTTGGCCTGAAGTGATTGTTCACTTGAAAACTAATAAGACATGAGAAGAAAAGAAAAACCCTTGGATAACGTGCGTTGAACATCGGGGACAACAACAACGGCTCAGGTTTTTTAGCGTGCTGTACAGTATCGGTGTGTGCGACGTGCGTGCGCGTTTCAAAAGTCAGTTAATTTATGCAATCAGAACGCTGCGACCCACTCCGCAGTCAGCTGATAACGTCCTGCCCTGCCTTGCCAACAACCTTGAAGTTGAAGCGACGCAACGTTTCGCTGCCCCGGTGCCATGGGTGAGAAAATGGGGTGAACGGGGGAGGGGGGAGGGGGGATGCATGCTCCGAGACTCCGACCGAGATAACCGTCAAAGGATTTGAACGGTTGGGTTGACCTCCACTTACGAAAAAGAGCGTAATCGTGTGATCTTTTGAGCGTCCACACGTTTAGAGGATCTAAATTATTCTAATTCTACAAACGAAGGTTCTCATTTGCATGCTGTAGACCTAGTATAAAGTATGCTACTCCCCCTGATCCTTTCCTCTAACCCCCCTTCTCTGCACGATGTTTATTGTAAGTTCACCTTTTTCTTTTAGCAGATTCACGTACCATAACTGTACAGTAGTGTACAGTGGGCCTGTCTCTAACCCGTGAATCTACATCATGCACAGAATACAAGGGTGGTGGGGGGGGGGGGGGTGCGCCTGACGAGAATTCGTGAAAATATTTTCGCGATTTATTTTTAAAGATAATCGTGAGTTCAAGTCATTCGCGAAATGTAGAAAGGAGATGTGTTTCTTTTTAACCCCCCCCCCCCCCCCCCCTCTAGTGTTTTACGACGCTTGCAACTGCAAAAGGTAATAAAGTCATATGAGTGCGCGGGACACACCAAACATTTTCAATTGGTAGGAAATTTTGAATTTTGCCCTGGTGACGGCCGAAGCCTACTCTTATCGATTTTGGACCACCAAGGGATCTTTAGCGTTACCAACTTGTATGGGACCTCAGAGATTTTTCGCCCTTGTCCGAGTAGGCTAGGTGTATATCTTTTCTACCAGAAGATCATAGGTGTGGCTGAAAGACAGAAATTTGAAGCAGCCAAGGAGTAGCTGTAGAAAGGCTGCAGAAAGAGTCAGGAGCCAAGTGGAGGGGGCAAAAAAGGTGAGATGTTTTTTGTTTGTTTTTGTAAAGTGTTTTACGGCGCTCGCAACTGCATAAGGTCATATGAGCGCGCGTACACACTAAACTTTTTCAGTTGGTAGGAAATTTTGAATTTTGCCCGGGTGGCGGCCGAAGCCTACTCTTATCGATTTTAGACCACTAAGGGATCTTTAACGTGCACAACTTGCACACGGGACCTCCGAGATTGTTCGCCCTTGTCCGAGAAGGCTAGGTGTAGATCTTTCCTACCAGAAGATCCGGGGTGTTGCTGAAAGACAGCAGTAAGAAGAAGCCAATGAGTAGCAGTAGAAAGGCTGCAGAAAGAATCAGGAGCCCAGAGGAGGGGGCAAAGGAGATGAAGGGGTGGGGGGCAGAAAGAGGAGACGAAAGCAGACGACAGATAATTGCTAGAGAGTAGGAAAGGAGGTGATAAAAGACAAATTTAGGGAAGAAAATGTTTTTGGTCGCTACCCGGATTCGAACCCGGGACCTTTGAATGAGAGGCGAACACCTTAACCTCTAGGCCACGAGAGCCCCCAAGAAGGTGAGAGGGTGAGGGGGAAGAAAGTGGAGACTAAAGCAGACGACAGAATATTGTAAGAGAGAAGGAAGGAGGGTGGAAGGAGATAATTTTAGAGATCAAAATTTTTCGAACCCGGTACCTTTGAATGAGAGACGAACACCTTAACCTCTAGGCCACGAGAGCCCCCGATGTGTTTCTAATAGGCCTAGTACATCGTGGATCTTACCGATTACCCAAGTTTTGTCGTAAAGCACCCTATTCTATATTTCTAGAAAGTGTTATTTGATAGTTACTGCTACTTGTACTATATTATTTATTTTGTTTTTAACTATCCGTCTGTTTCTTATTCACCTTATATATTAAGATATATATCCACTTCTTTCTTTCTTTCTTTAAATTCTCTCTCTCTCTCTCTCTCTCTCTCTCTCTCTCTCTCTCTCTCTCTCTCTCTCT